AAAAAAAAAAAAAAAAAAAAAAAAAAAGAGAATAAAAACAATATAAAGTCTTCTCAGGCCTATGAAAACTAAAAGAATTCACCTCTAGCAGATCCTAAATATAATATGTTAAAGGCTGTCCTTCAAACAGAAGGAAAGTGATACTAGATGAAATATGGATCTACACAAAGGAATGAAGAGCATTACCATCAGATGTGGTAATTGCACAAGTAAATATATAATATTTTCCCTTATTATTTTAGTCTCTTTAAAATATAATTGGCTCTTGAAACAAAAATAATGACAACAGAGTGTGTGGTTTATGGCATATATAGCACAATGTGTCACAATCTGTGACTAAAATAATACTTAGAGGGAAATTTATAGCACTAAGCAACTATACTGGAAAAAAAGAAAGTTCTCAAACCAATTATCCTAGGCTCCACCTTAAGAAACTAGTAAAAGAAGAGCAACTTAAACCCAAAGTAAGAAGAAGAAAGGAAATCATAAGGATCAGAAGAGAAATTAACAAAATATAGAACAAAAATAATAGGGAAAATTCATGAGGTCAAAAGCTGTTTCTTTGAGCTTTTGTATCAATAAAATTGATAAACCTATTGCCAGACTTATGAGGACAACAAGAGATAAGACACTATTACCAGTAGCCAGAACGAGAGGGTGACATCACTACAGATCCTACAGATATTAAAAGAATAATAAGGGAATATTATGAACATCTTTTTGCTAATAAATTCAGTGACTTAGATAGAATGGATAAATTCATTGACAGACAAACTACCAAAGCTTACTGTAGAAGAAGATATCCTGAGTAGTCCTATAAGTATTAAAAGAAATTGAAGTGATAATTTAGAACCTTTCCACAAAGAAAACTCCAGGCCCAGTCACTGATGACTTCTATGAAATATTTAGTGAGTAAATAATGCCAATACTACACAATCTCTTCCAGAAGATTGAAAAAGGGGGAACAGTTCCCAAATCACTCTGTGAAGCAGCATTACCCTGGTATCAAAACCAGACAAGGACATTTTGAATAAAGAAAACTACAAACCAATATCAATATCCCTCATGAACATCAACACGAAAATTCTTTTTTTTTTAACATCTTTATTGGGGTATAATTGCTTTACAATGGTGTGTTAGTTTCTGCTTTATAACAAAGTGAATCAGTTATACATATACATATGTTCCCATATCTCTTCCCTCTTGCATCTCCCTCCCTCCCACCCTCCCTATCCCACCCCTCCAGGCGGTCACAAAGCACCGAGCCGATATCCCTGTGCCATGCGGCTGCTTCCCACTAGCTATCTACCTTACGTTTGTTCGTGTATAGGGGGAAGGGTGAGCTGTGACAGGGCGAGAGAGAGGCATGGACATATATACAACACGAAAATTCTTAACAAATCTAATCCAACAACAGGGAAAAATGATAATACATCATGACTGAGTGGGTTTATCCCAGGCGTGCCAGCTGGGTTTAACATTTGGAAATTGATCAATGTAATTCATCATATTAACAATAAAAAATTCAAACTATACAATCATCTAAACAGACACACAAAAAGCATTTGGCAGTACCCAACCTCTATTCCTGATTTAAAAAAAAAAAAAAAATCTCTCAACAAACGACAAATAGAAGTGAACTTCCTTAATTTGATAAAGAACATCTCTGAAAAACCCACAGACTTAATGGTCTTAAATATGGAATACTTTCCCACAAG